GAAGGTGAATTGTCAAGAGTGTAATTTCAGAACAAGGGCTTTCTCTTATGATCAAGAGGAAGGTTTGAAGTGATATTACATAAGTTCCCATGTTTGCAAAGAGTTGATATGAGTGTTATCTCTAGACAATTTTAACTTTTTATAATGGAATTTTGGTGCGGTGTGGTTCCCCATCAGTTTTTCATGTTCTCTAGTTTTTCCACATTAAATCCTATTGTGTTTTTTTTCTTATAGTACTTTGTTGTGCTTTTGTTTGAGTTTTATTTGTTCAGGATTTCTCGAATTGGAGTTCATATTTTCTGCGGTGTGATTTCAATTGTGTGTCAATCGAAGCCCTAAGTAATTCTCCATCTCAACAATTCTGTGTTAATTCGAGTGGGAGCAATTGTCGATAAAGCAAGGTACAAAATGAAAAGTTTAATGGGATAAACTTTGCATGCTTAAAGATGCAAGTGAAGAATTTGTTGTATCATAAAAAAAATGTATATGTCACTACAAGGAATCACCAAGAAGTTTGAAACAACGAACAAACCTAGATTTGATTAGTCTCACTTTTCTCATATGTTGCATTCAATGTAGTGAATGAGAAAACTACGGTGGATCTCATAGCGACACTGACAATGATGTATGAAAAACCTTCTACTTCTAATACATTTTTCTGGATGAAGAGGTTATTCAACATGAAGATGGTTGAAGGTTGTTCGATGGCTGAATATCTTAATAATTTCAACATTGTGACAAACCAATTGTGTTGTTGGTATCAATTTTGATGATGAAATTAGATCACTATTAATTTTTTCTTCATTATCGAACAACTGGGATAGATTGATAAAGATGGTGAGTTAACTCGTTAGACAATTTGAAGTTAAACATTGATGATGTCATGTAGTTAGTGTTGAACGAAGAAATTCGTAGAAAGGCAGCGACAATGAATCTTCAGGTTTTGTGTTAAATGTTATAAACAGGGGAAAGAAGCTAAACCAAAATACAGGCAAAGAGACAGATTCAAGTCCAGAAGAAGAAAATTTAGGTCAAGCATAGGAGAATGTTGGAACTATAAGAAGAAAGAGCATTTCAAACAGAACTATAAAGCTTCAAGGAAGGCTGGTGGTGGAGGACAAAAAAGGAATCTTTCTACAAAAATCTCCATTGACAAAATCTAAAGTGATTCATTGATTTTTATCCCTAGTCAGCACTGGATATTGAATAGAAGATTCATGAGCCTTTTTTCATTTATGCCCCAACAAAGAGTTGTTTATATTTAGAGTGATCTAGAAAAAGATTATGTGGGAGATAACAAGGCTTGCAGTATCATAAAAAATAATAATGTGTATATCAAATTGTCAAATGGAACAATCCGAAAATTCAGTAAAGTCAGAAATGCTCCAAGTCTGAAGAGAAATTTGATCTCTACGAGTCAACTGATAAAATTAACGTATGTGACGATTTTCATAGGTGAGACATGAAATGTGAACAGGCGACAATGATGATGGTTTGGGGCAATATTGAAGACATTTTTACATGATCAATGAAATTGTGGATTTTATTGGTGTATCTGGAACCAAGGTAGATACGGGTCTGTGGCACCATGGGCTTGGCCATATGAGAGAGGAAGGTACAAAGTCCCTATCTTCAAAGAATACAAGGTTTGAGATATGTAAATTTAAGTTTCTATGAAGATTGTGTATATGACAAGCATAATAACTTCTTTCTCCAAAGCTGGGTCAATGGTGAAGTAAAACAAATTGGAGTTAGTGCATACTGACGCATGTGATCCTACTTCAATTCAGTTTAATGGAGGTTTTTACTACTATAATATTTATTGACGATCATACTAGAAAGAGATCGGTTTACTTCTTAAAACAAAAATTTAACGTATTTGAAGTGTTTAAGAAGTGAAAGATCATGACAGAAAATGAGGCTGGCTTGAAGATGAAGTATCTTAAACCAGATAATGAGGGTGAGTATCGTGATCAGAGGATCATACATGATTTCACCGTTCCAAGAACTCTACAGTAGAATGGAGTGGTTGGGCGCATGAACAATACCATATAGAGCATGCCAGAAGTATGAGGTTGTATGCAGGCTAGCTAAGGCAGTCCCGGGCAGAAGCAGAGAATATTACAATTAATCTAATCAACCGTGGTCCATCAAAAATTATAAAGAAAGACTTACCTGAAGAAGCCTGGACCTGGAGTGAAAAAGGGGTAACTATATCTCACTTGAAGGCATTTGGTTGTTTTGCATATGTATATGTTGATGCAGAACTTGCTCGAAATCTGTCAAGTGCATTTTCATTGGGAATGAATTGGATGAATTTGGATACATAATCTAAAATTATCAAAATTAGAAATTCATCAGGAGCAAGGATGTTACTTTCAATGAAATGAAAATGTACAAGGACATGATTAAAACTCAAAATTACCCATCAATTACTTATGAAAAGTCCGAGTATGTTAAGATAGAAGATACTAGTGATCGAGAGGAAGAAAATGAAGTACAAGAAGTTTTTCAATCACCTGCTACTAAACTTGGGACGTCCAACAAAGCTACTAGAGAAACAGAGGCATTCTCCTTTTTTGTACTATTTGTTGCTAACACCAAAGTGCTATGAGACCACTCAAGTTGAAGATTCAAAAGAGTGAGAGTTTGTCATGGATGACGAGAAACAATCCTTAAGGTCAAATTAGAAATGGGATTTGACGGTATTAACAGATAGCAAAAGGGCATTTACAACAAGTGGGTCTACAAACTGAAAGAGAAGTTAGATAGTGGCAGACACTATAAGACAAGACATATTGTAAAGGGACTTCAATAGCAGAAAAAGAGTGTAATACACTGAGATTTTTTTTCCTGTAGTGAAGATGACAATTGTCAGAGTTATGTTGAGTTTAATAGCATAGAAAGATCTACATATAGAGCAAATAGATGTAAAGATAGTCTTCTTATATGGAGATCTGGAAGATGAGTTATATATGGTGCAACCACAATGTTATGAGGTTCCAGGGAAAGAATATTTAATTTACATGTTGAAGAAGAGCCTTTATGGCTTGAAGCAAACCTTGCGACAGTGGTACATGAGGTTTTCATTTATGAAGATCTGAAAGAGGAGCTATATATGGTGCAACCGCAATGTTACGAGATTTCAGAGAAAGAATATTTGATTTACATGTTGAAGAAGAGTTTTTATGGAGCGAAGCAGACCTTGAGACGATGGTACAAAAGGTTTGACATGTTCATGTAAGTGGGTGCAAGATGTATCAGGCAAATCGCTGTTTTATCAAAAACTTCGATAATTGATATATCTTAGTTTTTTTGTCTGTGGATAACATGCTAATTGCAGATGCAGATATGGAGAAAATCCAGAACTTAAATGAACAATTATCAAGTAAGTTTGGGATAGAGGATTTAGGTCCAACCAGAAAAATCCTCGCGATGAGGATCAACGAGGATAGAAGTGTAGGTGCACTGAAGTTGTCTCAGACTGAGTATGTTGAGAAGATATTACAGAGGTTTAACACATGAGAGGCAAAATCAGTTTGCACCCTCTTAGGTGGTCACTTCAAGCTATCTAAGGAACTATCACCTAAATCTGAAATAGAGCAAGCAAAGATGGGGAGATCTTTGTATGCTTCAGCAGTTGTCAGCATAATATATGTATGATTTGTATGAGAAAAGATAATGCATATGCAATTTGAGTGGTCAATAGGTACATGAGTGATTCAGAAAGGCATCATTGTGAGGCGGTGAAGTAGATTCTTAGATATTTGAGGGGAACAATCAACATGACAATTTATTTCGAAAGTGCAGGGATCAGTTTACAAAGATTTGTATACTCGAACGTGACAAGAGATTCGGACATTAAAAGAAGTATGACAGGGCATATCTTCACTTTGGTAAACACAACGGTGAATTGAGTTTCCATATTGCAGAAAATTGTTGCACTTTAACAATGGAGTTGAATACATTGCCATCACTGAGGCTAGCAAATTGATGATTTGGCTACAAGGCTTTATTGCAGAATTACAATGAGTGTAGTTACAACAGATGTAGTTACAGCGGATGGTATGCCTAGGTCGAACAACATCGTAACCATGAAGATTGTTGCACTTTAACAATGCTTGAAATGAGTGTAGTTACAGCGGATGGTATGCCTAGGTCGAACAACATCATAACCACGTTGCGGGTTCAATTCATCCTGGTATATTGCATAACAACAGCGCTTACAGTGTTCTCCTGATTTGGAAGTTAAAGCCTTGAGGAGGGACGAGGCTGGTTTCTCTCTTGCTTGCAGTGTTTCTGGTCAGGTTTTTTCATGAAGGTGATATTTCGGGAGGGTGAATTCGAAGCGAGGGCTTTCTCCTATGAGATCGAGATGAAAGCTTGGAGCAATATTCTGTAATTTTCTGTGTTTGTAGAGAATTGATTTGAGTGTGTGTTTCGGTACAATTCTGTTTTCATAATGAATTTTGGTGTGGTGTAACTCCATAATTTTTTTCTCATTCTCGAGATTTTCTAATATTAAATCCTGGAATATTTTTTCTTACTTTGCTTTGTTGTGCTTGTGTTTGATTTTGATTGTGAACCAATCAAAGCCCTAAGTAATTCTCCATCCCAAAAAAAATTAGAGACAGCACTTCAAGAAACCACAATTGTTAAAGAAAGAAGTCAGGTTAAAGACAACAGGAAACACACGTAGTTTCCTCTGAAGGCTGTTTTGGTTGACAGAAAATAGAAAATAATGATTTTATTTTCAATTCATTTCGAGTGTAAGAAATAAAATCATCATTTCTCTAGTATTTTGAGGGTATTTGTAAGTCTAAAACTCATGTTGCTTTCTATCTACATCAAACTAAATGATTGAATATAATAAATTTGGCATTTTCAATGTTTATTTTCTATTTCAATCAGCTAAATGAACCAACGACAAAGTCCGTCTTACCTCAACAAGGAAAAAAAAATGCCTAGTAATATAACTGAAAAGTAGATACGAGAGGAACCTGTGATGCACAAGACAACACCGCCAAGAGCTGTCCATGCCTTCAAGTTATTTCTCTTGAAGAAGAAATAAATGTAAGCTGGATTTAAAGCTCTAAAAACAGAAATATCGTGCTTAATAATGTTGTACAATCCAATTGAGCCAATACCAAAGAACCAAAGTGCTAGCACCGGAGCAAAAAGAAAACCCACTTTGCCAGTTCCAATACTCTGTATGCTAAACAACACTGCGAGGATCACAATGGCGAGAATCACTACAGCATCTGCGAAAAGAAAAAAAAAAAATTGAAGGCGATTGATTATGCAGAAAAAATTGAAGAACCAAACTATCCCATCAAAATAATAGAAAAGGCAGCATAAAATTTTACTAAAAATAAAAATCCAAAAACCTGAATTAATTCCTGTAATAGCTCCCTGCAGGCCACTAACTGCAGATAATACTGGAAAAGAACAAAATAACAAAAATATTAAATAAATTCACAAAAACACAACAGAAATGTCAAATATAAAATGACAGTGATGACGTTTGGAAGGGGCAGACTACCAGACATGGATGGAGTAAGAATACCATCACCAATAATCATAGAAGTACCCATTAGAACCAGCAGTAAGAGAAGAGTTTTGAAACAAGAATTCTTTTCCAGACAATCTTTTATTTTTAGAGCTCTTTCTAATTCAGTAGTAGGCAATTTTAGCCGAAAACTAGAAATATCTTCATCAGCTCGCTGTTGGTTCGGAAGTTGGCTAACTTTAGCATACCTACAAATCAATGAATATAATGCAAATGTACCACCTGCAAATAAAAATTGAATTACAGCAGAGCAAATATTTTAAATTAATTGATAAAATTGAACCATAATGCTTCCACATAAAAAAGAGAGAATGTTCATCTTTAATACACATGTTCCAATGACTTAAAATCATTTATTTCAAAAACAATCATTACTTCATACCTTCTCCATTATCATTAGCCTTCAGCACTACAAAAACATATTTTGCAAAAGGAATAAGAGCAATTGTGTAGAGAACTAAAGACAATGCTCCCAGCACATCCAATTCTGAATTTATGGGAACCTTGCTGAAAACATCACTGAAAACATACAAGGGACTGGTACCCATGTCACCATATACAACACCAAGAGTTTGAAATGCCATAGCTATAGTGCTCCATGCTGAGAGATTCTGAACATAATTTAAGAGAAGTACTTCGTCAAATTCTACGCTACATGTTAATCACGACAGTGCATTTGTCTGCCGGGAAAAAAAAAAAAAAGAGAAATGATGTGAAAATCATGAAAAAGAGAAATGATGTGAAAATCATGAAGTTGCGACTGTCAAACTTGTTCTCTTATTAAATAAGATTGCACCTATAAACAGGGATAAAAAGGAAAAATAATATCCCCAATAAAAAGACTTCTCTCAAAATATATAGTTCCCAATAAAAAGACTTCTCTCAATATATATAGTTCCATTCCAAATACTCTCACTCAAGCTGAAGAATTTATAGATATGTTAGCTCCAGTTTGTCACAAAAATAAGATGAGGGTAGTTGATGTTAAGCATTAACAAAAGTATCCACCAATTATTGAAACTGGAAATATAAGCGCTAACAACCTTTTTAGGAAGCACAACAATACGAATGAAGTGGTAGTCCACTATATTGAGTTTAATATGTTCATGAAACATATTGTTGATGGTAATATAAATTGTGGCAAAATTGCCACAATATAGTGAGTTGATTGACAATAAAATCAAAATCATCTTTAAAGATTTTTTATTCAGATCATTTTACAAGCAAAATGAGACATGCCTCTATATTTAGCTTCAACACTAGTATGGCTATAAGCTTATTTGAAATGCTTCTAGATTTTTATACTTATTATAAACCTCAAAATCACCATTTTTAGCCATTCTCTAAGAATAATACTCTTTTTTTTTTAAATCTTTTGTAATTCCGCACTCCATAATCAATATTTAGTAATTTTTAACAAAAATCTTCTTACTGTAATAGGCTATCTTATCTCACAAAGTATTACTACTCACTTGTTTTAAGAATCCATCTCAAAAGAGTGACAACTCACATTTTCCATTCCACTACCTTATCCTTGTTATCCATGAGAATTATTGTATTTGATCTTTTCCTTCATACTCTTGATGTGCATCTATTCATATAGGAAGGTCAAATCATCCGATTAGAGGGTTCTAATCGTAACTATTTCTTTTGTGGAGCCTAATGACAAAATCATACGGATATAGGACTCGAGCAACATCCTTACTGGCACAGTTATTTTAAATTTGAATTTGAATTTAGTAATATACTTGGCATGACATTAGCCCTATGTGAGCTTAGGTTAATATCAAATTTCTCCACCTCAACGAACCATTGCAGAGGGTAGATGAATACTCTTAGCTTTTAAAGATAGATTTCATTTTCGTATTTTAACAGATTTTGTGATTTGAAGATTTGGATTTTATAAGCAAACTCCCTCCTTTCGAGATTCAAATTTAACATAACTATCACAGAGGAATTCATTGGCATGCATATTTTATAATTTTGATTAGATTTAATCACTTAAGAATTCAAAAAGAATTAGTCTTGTTAACTACCATTCTTGTTAGGAGAAGGGTCCAACAGGCGGCTCGGTTTTGTCACTTCAATCAATGTGAGAAGCGGGATAGAATTGGTCGAAGGTGTGACTTATGTCTCTTGCACTATGCAAGGCAGCTTGCTTGAGACTGTGTGGTTTAACAGTTTAAATTTGACTTTCAAATTCTTTCAAATTTTGTAAAGCTTTAAAAAGATGAATTTTTCCATATAGATTTGATTTTAATTTAAACATGCAATTAACCCGCGTAGCATTTTCAGACACTTAAGATTTGGTTCAAGGCAAGTGACGAAGCACATACAAGTATTTAGGGCTTTTGAATTCAAGCGGACTTTTACGGGATTTTATTATTATTTTTGTGAATGTATTATCATTAAAATTTGTGTAAATATTTAATTTAAGTTTTTAGTTTTGTCTTATGTCTGCTGGTGCAGAGGGATTACAGATTGATGATGAGTAGAAATATTTTAGATTTTGATCGTATATTTTGGAATTATGTATCTCTCCAAACACTCAAATTTCACTAGGTGATCAAGTGAATCCCCATAATCATCGTACATGATTTTAAGTGCTTTAACTAACCAATAAAAAGCTTCATTTATATTTATAGATGATCTAGTATGTTCATCACACATCTCATTTGAGCTCGTTGACGAGTCATCAAGTCCCCTATAAATCTGATGCAGGTTTTTTTAATCCCTCATTTATTTTTTATATATGAGATGGTGAGTTCACTATAGGTACGAGTCAATGAGTACCCTGACATGCAAGATTTCATATGTGGGTCCTAAAATTTATTTTTTGTCAGCTATTACAAAAGTGATTAAGTTCGGTGGCAATTAAAACATTCCAGACTTTGATTTTATATTTTGAAAATTGGCATTTTTTCCACTAAATTTTTACTTGAGTGCTCAAATGAATCCCCATAATCAAAGTGCATGACTATAAATGCTTCAACAAACCAATAAAATACCTCATTGATATTTATAGATGATCTAGTGTATCCATCAAAGGTTCCGTTCGAGAGCTCGTTGACGAGTCGTCGAGTCCCTATAAAACTGATATGAATTCCCTTTAATGCATCATGTACCTTTAAAGATGAAATAGTGAATTTGTTACAGGTTTCAGTTAAGCTCGTTGACGAGTCACCGAGTCCCGTATAAATATTGTGCGGGTTTTATTTTTATTTAATTTTGTCTTCCATATTTAATAAATTATATAACTATTTAAGTCCAAATTTTATCATTAATTTGTACTAAAAGATCTATCATTTTAGCCCAACGTTCAAACGAAATTTTGGCAATATTTCGGCTGCCTCCCGATGTCATCTCTGTGAGAGGCTATTTCGGAATGTTGGGCCTAACCACTATGCCAAAAGAGGCATGTATGGCCGGTGTCATGAAACACCGCGATCAAAATATTTGAAACCCACCAAGACAAAAAAGATGCACATGCGATACTGCAAGGTTAGCCACAAAATAATTATAGAATTTACTAAGTTATTTGAATTTTGACAGCCTCCCGATGTCATCTGATGTGGATCAAAAATGTGTTGTTGTTTGTCGTTAAATACATGTTTTACTTAATTATTATGATGTTTTACACTTAAGGAAGGTGTTCTTGTTGCGTTTCACAGGATATAGGTGTGGAGCAAATTTCAAGGAGATAAACGTCATAAATTGACCAATTAGTAGGAGTAGCAACCCCACGCCAGAGAGTGCCGCCCCTTGTTGTGAACCATCCTAAGAGAGAATCAGATTGGCAACCCCAAGTCAGGATCGTGCGCGACCGTGTCGAACATCTAGAATATGCGGCAAAACCGGAGCCAATCAGCAGCGCAAGGGCACCTCGTTATGCGGGAAACTTAAATTGAAAGGTTTTTATGACAGTTTTGGAGACCTAGCCATATAAGGAGAGGCCTTGGACATCAAGGGAAACTCTTGGGTCATTGGAAGGCAGCTTCTACTTGTTTTTAGGGATTCTTGTGTTGTGCCCTAGGGTTTTCTCCTTAGGTTTCCTTGGGAGAAGGCCTATATATAGGGTTTTTCTTTTAAGAGTTTTGGAGAGTTGGAAAGAATGAGATATTTGAATGCACGTACGAGGGAAATTTGCATTGAGTGCTTGAACTTTAAGGGAAGGATCAAGGTCTACTTCAAGGCAAAGAATTTTTTGTTTGAATTTTTGTACTTGTTTACATGTTGGATTTATTTCAATGAATTTTTTTTTTGTTCTACTATCATGAATGGTAGAAAAATATTTTTATGCTCTTGTGATTAGGATATTTAAATGAATCGAACGTTTTATCCATGAGGTTTTCTCCGACATTTTTGTGTTGTGTTATTTGATTAATGTAGATTAAGAAAGTCACCTTGTGGAGAAAAAATATTGTCAATAGGAGATTGCAGCATAGATAGGTGACTAGAGAATTCCTGAAAAACTTTACATGGTTAAGCCCCCTTAACTGTAATACGAGTTTCTAAAGCCTTTTATAACCTCGACAGGTGCTAAGGAGGACTTTTTCCTGGTTGTCAAAATCAACAACGGGATCTCATAGGAAAACTTTGAGGATTCACACAATCTAAGTCATATGAGGATGATTTTTATCACCTTTGAAAAATTCCAAAATTTAGTTTTGTTATCTTCATTTGGATTTTAAAAACATCTCAACGTCAAAAACTTGAAAGACTACAAATTAGACTTAAAGGTTTAGTAAACTAAAACTAAGGTAATTAGAAAATTTACTAGTTTTCTTGTAGGATCGACACACTGACTCAAAATTCGTGTATAACTTGAGCGGCACATACTTGCATTATTATCGACTGCTTTGTAGTAATTTTAGGCATCATCATTGTTGCAAGAGAGATACATCAGGAAAGTTGGGTCTAGCCACTATGCCATGAAAGACATTTATTATGATCGGTGTCGTGAAACATCAAGGCAGAAATGAATGAAACCCACCATGAGGCACCTATAAGCAAAATCCACAACACATATATGCATATCTTCACGTTGCATCATGGGCGTCGTCAAATTTATCTCACCATGCTAAGAAAAGTATGCATGAGTTCACTCGTGACAAACACGTACAAACGGGTTGCATCACGAGGATGAGATATCATTTGCCCCGCCACACTAAGAAAAGCGTGCATGGGTTCCCCTCATTGAATCCAATGCGCCACAAACCAAATATTAAGAGTTTAAGAGCACAATCTTTTTATACATTTGTGTGATCCCCGACGATGTGATCATAAATTTGTTGAAGAAGCAATATTGGATAGACATCCACAAGCTAAGTTCTGTAAGTGCCATCGAGCTCTCAAACTTTCATAAATAGTAAATCTAATGGGTAGCTCCAAGGCCCTTATACCGTCCCCTTGCACCCTCATCTCCTAGCCTCACTAAAATTTGACTGATTTCTGAGCCCAATCGTCTCAGCTATCTGATGTGAATCGTCTTCTACTCCATGAACCATTAAAAAGTCAGAGTGAAAAGAGAGAAGCTCTTCCTACACCATCATCCTCTTTGTCAAACTTCCTGACGAGAACTCCTTCCTTGTAACCTTCACATTCTCCTTCCATATGACGTCCCTTCCTGTCGGCCATCTCAATGGAATCCTGTGATTCCTCAGGTGGCAAAATCAAACAATTTTGCCCCTTTCCAAATCCAAGAACACGTTTCCTCTCATATTCAATATGGCCATTGGCTTCTGCTGAATCTGAACTCTCTGAAACAGTATAATAACATGGCACATAATTCTCATATTCAGCTCTTCTATTGGCGAGCTCTTCAACAAGGAAGGGATCCACAACTAGCTTCAGTTGTACCCGCCTGTAACCTTTATAGATGTTAAATTGTGAGACATTGGAGATATATGCACTCCAGTAGAGCGAAACCCAAATCGTAATGAAAGCAATTAGGGAAAAACTTAACTTCAGTATGCTAAGCGTCAAGTTTTGCCGATTTCTTCTTAATCCGAAAGGACTTGGAAGCTTATGACCTAATCTATTCTTAGAAAAATTCTTCTGTTGGGAGATCTTGTCAAATGTGTATTCACAGCTGGAGAACCTTCCATTGCCGCCCGAGGAAGGTTTTGCCGGAGTTGGCGCAGGAAGTCTCGCCGGCGGGATGGTTTCGTGTGGGAGGAGGAAGATTTGTTAGGACTTCTCGGCTTATAGAAGGGAAGAAGAAAGAGATGCGAACAGGTGGCATTGCGGGAATCGGAGATATCATGGGAGGGTTTGCGTGGGAAAATAATGTGCAGAGAGAGGATTGAGAGAGGAGAAAATATTAAGTCCGTTTTTTTGGGATACAATGTTAACAAGCAAAGGTCACCACCGGCGGCGAGCAGGGGCGGCTAGAGAACGCAGAATTGACGATCGTTGAAATGACTAATTTGCCCCCTGATTCTGTTGAAATGACTAATTTGTCTCTATTCTGGATAAACAATTGAGTTGTTTGGTTCGTGTGTTTTGTAAACAGCTTATTTATAAATTTTGTAGTTGAATTAATAATCTGCTCTGGACAGCGCTATATGTATTTACATACATATCACCCAATTCCTATGTATGTACATATCTAACACCTCTACTTAACTTTTTTACATGCATAGCACCAAATTCTTTCATAACTCAAAAAAATAGCACCATTTTAACTTTTTAAGAACGAAATAAACCTTTTCATGCATAGATAAGGTGGCATGTATGTAAAAAATAAAGTTGGCTTAAGGCAAATAATTCTACCCAAATAATCGTCAAATTCCTATGTTTTTCTGTTAAATTATTTGCAAAGACAATTTTCTCTCCTCACAAAATCATAAGAGAATCTAATATAAATCACAACAAAGTAGTATACACTTGTTCATTTTCTCCCCAAATGAGCAAACTACTGCATCATCCATGGAAAGTAATAACATCTTAAAGGAAAAGGTTAACAAGAAAAAACAAAAAAAAAAAGGTAATGGCACAATAAACCTATGCCTCCCTTAATAAAACAACAATGAAATTAAACACTAATTCATTCTAACACCCAAAAAAAAAATGGTGATAGAAGCTTGAGAAAAAACTTGGCTCAACAAAATCGTGAGAACAAACAACACTAAAACGGGAAACATTAAACCTATTAGGTATTTACCCACGTCCACCATTAATGCACACTACTTCTGGAGTAGAGAGAGAGTGGTTTTGGAGTAGTGAGAGTCTGCAGAGGCTTCAAATTTAAGAGACAGAACAGTGCCCTTTGTCGGAATTCATATTACCTCAGAGGAAAGCGAACGAAGGAGTGACGAAAGAGGAAGAAGCAGAAGGAGTGTCGATGAAGGAAGAAGCAGAAGCAATGTCGAATCAGGGAAGAAGAATCGCGAACAAAGGAAGAATCTGCGGCACTGAGAGCTTCCTTTATTCTCGAATCGTGAACGAAGGAAGAATAATCGCAAATGAAGGAAGAAGAATCACGAACGAAGGAAGAAGAAAACATTGCGGGAAGGGGCAGCGGAGTAATTGGGGGTTAAACACAATAAGGAAACGCGAAGCATGGGTCTAGACCCGCGATCCTCTTGTAATGCAAAATAGGAAACAGAGTTTTGATAAACGCATTTCCAACGCGCGAAACAAACGATGAGGCTGCGTTTTCAAAACGCCGCCGCACTTATAAGCTACCCTAAACGGGCCCTAAGTAAAGAAATAGGGTTTATTTATATGCAATGAGGAAGAGCATTTTGATTTTTTGGCGAATAATTTTCCCAACCTCCTTTTTGATCTAGACATATTGATCTTCTTTCATCATAGATGGTTTTTTTATGATTTGAATGCCATAATGACCACGAAATTGAGCAATCTTAAGATCGTTGGATTCTTCTAATTGAGTAGCTCGATTTGAATATGAATATGTTAAATTTGAAGTTCTTTTGAACATTCAATTGATGATACAAAACCTCCAAAAATATTTTAATTGCTTGATTCGTGCATGATTGTACGAAACCAAACTAATTTTTGTATCATTAGGTTCAGCTTGTCAAAACAATTAGTTTGATTATAAACTTGATGAAATTGGGGTATTGGATGATCTTAAATTTGAACATGAAATTTCCTATTCCTAAAAAAATATATCGAAATTCGTGTTAGATGATAAAAATTTATTGATGATGCATCAATTATTAATATATAAATATATAATAACAAATATATTTAGGAATAAATATAAATATATTAATATATGGGTGTATTAATATATATTAAATTTATATAATATTCAAATATGATGAATATTTAACCCCTTTGATGCATACAAAACAAAGTCGATTTAGATGAGAATAGGCTCGTTTGAACCATCTCTATGACTTGGATGCATTCGTGAAATCTGTTTTGTGATAGGAGGTCATATGAGTGGCTTAGCTCCGAGCAACTCATTATGGTTCCCGATATTTACCGTTCTTCAACGAGAGAACTAGATATGCAGATCAATATGATGAATACTAAAAATAGAAACTAATGCGAGAAGGGAGTGAATGGTTGTTTATAGAGAGAGATTTGTATGTCGAGATAATTTGGTAGGGAAAATGAAATCCTTTGAATATTATGTTGGGAGATCATGGTTTTGCATCCTTACTGAATAGTAGGCAGTGTTGCGAGATAGATATACACCAGTTGATGTGATATATATATAAATCAAACAATACAGGAGAATGATCGACGAAATGAAAAATGTAACGAGAAAATTCACACAAAAAAAAAACAACAGCGGAACACACAAATTTACGTGGTTCGGCAAATTGCATATATCTACGAAGTTGCAGAGGATTTTACTACTTGAGGAATTTACATCAGTTGATCACCTCGACTTACAAGAGGAATCTCTCAATTCTTTGCTCTCTCTTATTCTCTCTCTGTTCTTCTCTCATTATACCGAGATACACAGAAGAAACTCTACACCGAGATACATCGAAAAAGATAAACTTACAAAATAAATAAACTCAATTTCCCTTCAGCCAATAACCACCAAGAAGAAGTCAAGGGAGAACAATCTTCTTCTTTTTCTTCCTTCTTCCTTCACCGCAAGGAACAACTTCTTGCACCTTCCTTCCTCAATCCCAAGGAAAACCGAAGAATAACACCGTGACTGCTAAACTTTCTTCTCTTATGTTTGCAACTTAAAGGAGAAGGGAGGCGGGAACGGTTCGCGACAGCAGGGATGCGCGACTCTTCGCAAACGGAAGCAGGAGAGGGATCGCGACGTTTTGCGATCGGGGAGGCAGGAGCGGAAAAAATCAGGCTCCAACGCTAAACAGGCAGTATAGATTATCAAGACTAAGGGTTTGTAGGTTTGCCCAAATGGTTGTCTTGATAGCTTGGGGGAAGACAGTTCAAATTGTATGGTAGAATGAGTTAAAAAATCCAGCAGAGCTGCCAAAACAACAATAAGATTCACTTTGGCTTTGATTTCTGAAAGGTATCGAGCCATAGTTTGAAATCCTCATAGAAATGTACTGACATTCATTTTCAAGTTGTATAATACGAGATACATTGATGGACTGTAGACAACGCACACATCGGCATGTTTACAAACCATAGATAGATAAGATAACAAAAAACTGCAGAGGGAAATCTGTGATGAAAAAATGATGCAACAAAGTGTCACAGCGAATACAGCCATAGTCATAATTGACCAGCCAGGATGAAATCTGTACAAGGAGAAATGTTGTGGAAGCCATTGGGATTCCTTTAGCCATAATAATTATGCTGTAATCATCATGGCATCACCAGAAACTTCCTTTTTCACGAATACGAGGAATTTTCTACAAATTGGCCTTAGTTTCCGAGAACTTCCCATTGTTATGAATGAGAGAAACTTCTTAGAAAGCAGAGATAGAATCTGGTCAGGACTCAGACATAAATACTATCGTAAATCTGAATCCAAGAAAAAAAAAGTAAGCGGCTTTATTTTATTTTCATTCAGCATCGGGGAACCTATAAATTTGTCATAATCTGAAACCCCGTCATTTCATTAGAAACAGAGTCATTTTACAAAGCAGGACAAACCTTTTCAATTTTTGCTTTATTCAGTACGGATGAATTTGTCGAGTAAAATGAATTTCCAAGCAGACAAACTTGCCATAAAAAGAACTTTTTGTTTCACTAAAGCAGATACAGCGAAATTCACTGTTCTAACACTTTTTAGTTCCTGAAATATATCAGCTTAGTACGGCAGTACATCAACAGCTTCATCTCTACCAAACAAAGCATTAATACTAAGCGATGATCCCGCATTTTCGAAACCCTACTGATTACATCAATAATAACAAGCAAAAATCATGAAAAAGCATATCAAGGGAAGAAAACTCAGATCCAAAACTTGAGAAAGAACTCCTAACGGTAAAGCAATTTACCTCCTTTTTGCGAAGCCCTTGTGAGCCGGCGATAATCATGGCCTCAACATTCAGTGAATCCTCCCGTTTAGGCTTCTTCCACAACCTCCTCCTCAGAATCGCCTCCTCCTCAAACCCTAAAAGAGCAGCACTCTTCTCCTCCCCTTCCAGCTCGCTCCCGTCAACCCATCTTGAATCCGAGCTCATTAGCCGTACTGCCGCCGCCTCCTCTACGATCCCTTCTTCTTCCATTACTAATTCTTCTTCCCCCTTCAATATTTCTTCACCAAGATTGGTTTTTTAAGGCAGGGGGGCGATTCCGCCAGAGGAACCCATGAGCTCGCATGGACGGAGAGAAGCAGTGGATAGAAGTCTGCCAAGATTCAAACTTTGGGAATTTGTCAGGAAGCGGAAGTTTGTTGCGAATTGATTATACAAACAAAGGACAATTATTTCGCTGATCGCCATTCCGCATACGGCAGATGGCGGGCTTTTACAAACTCGACATTACTTGCGGCAGACCGTTGGCTGTGGATCGTGGGGACCATTCGGATGGTGGATCACGGGGTGTTCCGCTGCCTCCCGTTAGATTTAAGTTGATAAAATTTAATAAATGTGATTGTTAAATCTGAAAATATCCAAGAAAAAAACACATCAAATAATAATGCATTGCAAAAAATAAAAAAATAATAGAAAAGGACAGTTATGAACAATAAGTAACATATAATCTTTATTAAAAAATTGATCCTTATTAATAGAAAGTGAGAGATATATTGTAAAATTACAAATATGTCATCCAATCATTAGTTAGTGAGGATGTTCTTTTAGTACATTACAAATTTCAGGTATATTAAATGACAAGTGGATTTATACAATCGGTGTAGATATTGGTGATCAATGGGCACGCAACCGATCAATTTACATTGATATGTTTCGTTAGCTTTTAGGCGACTTTCGAAACTTGGTTCGATCTATTAGCATTAGTTCGATTGTCGGACATTTTAATGATTCGACTCTCAAGCTTGACTCAAAGCGGTTCTTCTTGTTCTAGAGTTTGTCGTTCGGTGAGTATATTCCTCCATATGCTTGTTGTTTAACTTGACCGTTGGAAAGACTCGAGATTCATGCTGACATATTTTTCGTGCACGGATTAAAATTTTCACATTTAAATGCTATAAATTTAGAATAGTGTTATTTTTTATCGTGTTTAACATAAATCTATTCTTTTGACTTTCTTCCTATTTAAGGCGGTGTTTAGTAGCATATTATTAATCAGATTTATGCATGATCTTAACTTAAATCAAACCAAACATAAGAAAATGAATCTTAAATCCAAATCTCATTAAATCTAATTTTTCATATTTCGTCACTCTTTTACCCTACTCAGTCTTCACTAGACGTAAATCCATATTTAATAAATCCGAATAAATCCATTTAAAGGATATATATATCACCATTGGAAAGCTTGAAAGAATTTATCAAATTTGATAAATCATATCCAACATTAATTTAAATTACAGTCAAATACCGCCTAAATCTTTTAATTTCAAATAATAATCGAATTTAATTAATTCACATTTACATTAATAAAAGGAAACAGCAGAAGAGAAGAATAATTGAATTTAGTGGGGTACAGATTTAATTTCTTCAATTATTTACTTTTGTTTGAATGAACATTAAATCATAGATAATTCCTGCTCAAGTTAACTGGCACGTTCTCTGCATGCCGGGGCTTCGTTTTCTCCCTCACTTTTTCTTTTGGCTCGTCAGAGCTGTGAATATGGTCTGTAGGCGGCCCCAATTCGGCCACGTGATCCGCATGATTTATCGGTGTTACAAAAAACAAAAGTTAAAATCTTATCTGCTGGATTTAAGCGAGCATTAAATATATAAATTTTAAGATAATTTGAAATAAGTCTGCAGCTGTTTGAAGAAGCAATTATGAAACTGCTAAGAAATAAACTTTTATTCAAAAAGTTACTGTGGTTATTTCTTTTTTTTTAAATGTTTGATTGCGACATTTTAGCAGTCATATCAGATAGTCAAGTCTGGTGAGAAAATACAACTTTCAGCTGTAGTTTTTCGAGAATACAGACAAAACACAATTTCATCAAACAGAAAAAAGTACGGTGCGGCACCACACTGTCACCACAACGCCGCCCTAAACGCACCATCAACTTAATTATCCATAAAAATAATGAGCTCAAAATGGCATGGCAACTAGTAGAGAAAATGCATATTATTTTCATGAATGCATGAATCAGTTGAATCATGAGCAAACGATGATAAGTTGAATCAGCTTGGCCAAAAAAAAAACTGTTCACTCACATGTGCAAGGAGGCTCTTTTCTTGTGCAACAATGGAGGGGCAAACGAACATGGCATGTTCATCCCATCTCTAGTTGCATAAAGACAAGTTTCAATCATCCAAATATGTTTCTTTTATTATGCCTATTATTCTAAATGTTTTGGACGTCTCAAGTTCATTGTGCATTGGTACTCATTATTTTATAAAATGTTAATATGTGAACAATATTCTAAGAGCCATGAGTTGCTTCATATGAAAATGTTGAGATGTGATTTTCTTTTTTTCTTTTTTTGTTTTATTGAGACTGTTAAAGAGAAGACAATATTTTTTAAAATCCTACAAAAAAAACTGATTTGGCATGATGAATGTCATAATACTTATAATAGACATCAATTATTTGACATTCTTGAATAGCATGAGAGGTGAGAGTATGAATTTATAGTATTTATGTGTTCTTTATTACTCTCTTCGATAGATGAAGAGCTATTCGTGGGGCTTGTAGGGCCTATTGGTAACGAATTTAACAGATTTAGTAAATCTTATGAATTCAAATTTACTAAATCTTGCCAGCTTTAGCAAATCTGGGATTTAAGATAAAACTAGAAAGAAATGGAGGAAAAAATTCATCAGGTTTTACTAAATTCTGCGAAAGAGCGGAAACAAGTAATATATCTCACATTTTATTTAAGATTAACCTCATCTTATGACCACCTTTTGGTTCTTTAAAATTAACATCATTATAGCGCTAATTTCTTAAATAAATTAAGTTTAATTGATTTTAAAATATTTAATGTAATAATTTAATTTGTTATTTTAAAGTTTTATGTTTGAATTATATCATTTTCTTATTATTAAAAAATAAGCTTATTGATAACAGCTTGAACACTCTTTGATTAGACATATATATTCTATGTTTGCAAATTTAATCAATTCCTGCTTATTCAACAAATTTATTAAATTAGCATGGTAAAACTAATCAAATTTTAAATTTGATTAATCATATTATTATATTATACTTGATGGAATTGATCTTAATTTTAATTTCATTTAATCCATTGAATTATTTAAATTTAAGATGAACACGTTTGCACAGGAAAAAATCACAACTTTTTGAAATGTATACAATTTGTTATGTTGCAAAAAAAAGAAATGTTAAATGATTGGTTAAAATTGAACTTTAGGTGCTAGATATGTAAATATAAAAGAATTTTGTGGTATGTTTGGAAATTTTCTCCAAGGATTATGGTTGGAAAAGCTGAAAAATTACCTTCCTATAACTCACTGAAGCTTTCTGTTTGCTGAGATTGCACATTTATGTGCTTTTACGTTAAATACTTTGTTTTCTGGTGGCACTATTCTATTAAAATTAATGGAAGAAAACTTTACTCTGTTTGATTCTCTCCGGGTCACATTCTCTGTTGTAGCCCATGTTCTTCTCCTTGCTATCTCCACTGTGTTTGGCGCTCCAAGCTTTAGAGCTCCTGGCTAGGGCTTATCTACAAAGGAAAGACGATTTCATATTAGAATGTATTATAAGTCTAATGGCTTATTTACCCTTCGTTGTTATTAGTAGTTTGCTATTAGGCTGTTTATTTAAACAATAATGTAATGTTATACAACTCATGAGATGATATTCATTCTTATCTGTTGATTCTCTGTTTTCCTTCTTTCGTTCTATGCTTTTGGTATCTTTTTCTTCTCTCTGTTGATGGTATCAGAGCCTCTTGCTTCACGGCAAAATGAATTCCAGTCCCTTCAGCTCCACTCAAGAAGGGCAACACACTCAGACGGCTTACAACAAGTTCAATGAGATAAGTATTCCTTCTACACTAAAGTCCTTGATGTCCCGGATAAAAAATGTAACTGGGACATGTTTAACTCAAGTTAATTACACTCTAGGGAAAACTTAGATATCAAAACTACTTGCGGCAAATGGCTTTGTTACCTTTCTTGACAATCAATTTCTCCATCCACCAAAGCATGCTCTTGATGCTCACGGCCAAGTAGTAGAAAATCAAGATTATATAATATAACAAATGATAAACATAAATCTAGCAGCAACAATGATTTCTACCATTTCCCCACCCATCTTGTCATATATTTTATATCTCGACACTACAGTTGAAATCTGACAAACCTAGAAAGAAGATTTCAGGCATAGAATCAATCTAGAGTTATTCAATTAAATAATGAATTCCATAATATAACTATAGGATCAAACAATATGACAAAATATTTCACCATAGTTAAAAATCTTGTAGAAAATATTGCTGCAGCAGAATCTAAAGTGGACACTGAAGACATCATACTTTACACATTGAACGGTCTACCACCAAGTCATCAAGGGTTCGAGACTGTAATATGCACAAACTTACAACCTCTACTTCTTGAAGATTTCTATGCTCATCTTCATGGCTAAGAATGCACCATGGCTAATGAAACATCAGAGAATGTGACGTCGAGAGAGTGTCAATTGAGCAGAGGAAAGTCTTTTTCCATTAAAAATGATTTTTACTTATTGTTACATCCCATTAAAAAAGCCCTCTTAGGTCTTTTTGGTGATTAGTTGTTTTAATTATTGGAAAGATTTACATATATACCACTCAATTCTTATGTATTTGCATTTTAACACCTAAACTGTTGTGAGCAAAAATTGTGAAACTGATTAGAGAGATCTGAAACAAAACTTAGAAAAGAAGCACAAAAAGTGATAAAACACAAAAAATACAGGGAACATCAAGATTTAATGTGAAAAAATTTGAGAACGGAAAAAAATTATGGAGCCACACCACTCCAAGAAATTCACAATGAAACAATAACGATAATGTACAGATTACATCACACTCAAACCTCATTACACTCATTTATATCTCCCTCATAGGAGAACTCGTGAAATCTAACTTCAGTATGCACAATAGGATTTTGTCAAATTACCTTAGGTCAATTTCGACGTTAATCTAACAAAAATATGATGTAAAACAATATCAATGACCGATTTGCGTCGACAATTGGTTCATGCAAAAAATGGTCATCACAAATACAATTTGCGACAATCGTGTCTGGTGCAAACCAATTACCTCTATATTTCCATCCAATATTGTCGAACTTAGCCATTTTGATGTGACTCATGCCGATGTAAACATTAACGATGACATTTGCGTCCATCGTTTGTGGATCCAAACTTGCTCTTTCATTTGTGTCCACAGTATCTGCTAGAGAGGTGATTAGCGTCAGAATGTTTCAAAGGTATTAGTGTCAGGAATTTCTGACACAACTTTGATGCAAACATGTAGCAAATTTTAAAAAATATATGAAAGAACGATCAGCTTTTTACAACCCGCACACAAAAAATATCATAAATATTTACTGTTTACCAACACAACACATAATATATTACATAAACATGTATCAAAATAAAAACAAATAAATTTTAACAAATAGTACTCAAAATCTATAAAAGTGCACATCGAACAAAATTTATAATCTAAAAATACAAAAATATATATACAGATGATAATGTCCAAATACTAAAAAAGAAAAGAAAAAAACCCTATGGGGTATCATTAGCATACTCATCTTCATCCTTCCCCTCCTCTCCCTCCTCCCCATCCACGCTTGTCATGGTGATCTACAATTTTCTCCAATCGCGCTAGTGACCCACATAGTTGACAGAGCTCCTCAGCCATAACACTGACTCGCACGCTAAACAAACTCATCATTTTTTGATGATGATTTCAAACTACCCTAAGTAGATTGGAAGTGCTCGATCTCAAATGCAATGCCCAATACACCGAGGTCATTATACCCTCTCTTTCTTCCACCCCTTTGCCTGCCTTCACATCTCAAAATTTGACTACTTAGTGATAGACTAACTACCAATACTACTAGCAGTTGTCAGGATTTAGCTTTGTATATCTCAAATATGCTCGTAGTCCTCCTTTATAATTAAAAATAATGGTTAATTGATATTTTACATTAATTATATAATAACCAAAGTTTTTTTACTTACATTGACACACTGAGAGAGTTTGGAGACCCACTCTTATCTACATCGGCATCGATTCGTCCAAACAAGCAATTTCATAGTGTTGGGCAGGCGATCAAGCTTGTGAGCTTGTGGACATGAAATTATAAGTATCAGATAATTGCATCATTGATTTGTCTAGTATTTAGTCAATTTCACCAATTTCAGGCAGTGCTCTGTGTTGTAACGATCCTCCAATGTGGAGAGAGGCACCCTTGACTCTCTTAGTACACTTGTTTTGTTGATTTGTATCCTTTTTCTTCTGATAATCAAGAGATGCCCATGATCTAGTCAATTGCACCAAAATCTCCACCCCAATCCAGATGGACCATTGTCCCTTCCCATAAGTCGTCGTGAACATATCACCCAACCGATGTCCAGTGCGAACCACAAAAATATGTCAGATTTGTTGATGATGCTTCGACAGTTAGTGGATGGACCTATGCAAAATAAAATTTATTTGATATTTATTAACATGACAAAATAACTTGAAATTATAATTCTATTTTAAATTAACTAATACATAGGATTCCCTAAACCACCTGTTCCGAGTTGCGATTTAGATCTTATTCTAGGAGAGATAATGAGAGTCATATATACTCCTAATGATCACTGTGATGCATTTGTCAGGTTGCCTGAGGAGGTAGAATCTGAAATAAAAATAGTAGTTACACAAATATAGAAAAGATTATTCAAATAACTTCCGAGTCTCCCTCAAACTCAACATATATCTGCTCCGTGATGTCCTGCCTCAAACTGGTTGGAGTAGAGGGGCCCGACTCATTTGAATATTTGATCAAACCACTCACATTTGAATAAATATACATAAATTGTAATATAACATGGATATTGCAACTGCATTAATTCTTCAAATATGTCCTAATAACTGATCTCACTATTTGAGTGGGTAATTTTTCAATACAAACACTACAATTATACATCTTATTCCCATCACATCAAGAACTCAGAGGAAATCTATAACAATTGACATCAAATATTTGTCATATAGTGACACTACGATTAAGCCCACAAACAAGATCTAATAAGCTCTAATCCATAACCCTATTGCTTTGATTATGAATCTTTAACAAGTTCTAAAATATAATTAGTTTTACTTAGAGCGTACAAATTATATGACAAACTTGTTAATTGAGGAGTTACTTTAATTTACGTATAATTTGAACCATGACGAAAATTCTTCTCAATATTTTCATCTATAATAGAGTTATCCCCTAAGTTTAAATTTATGGTAAAGAACTTACTCATATCATTGTTATTTACATATTAAAGTTAATTAGTATAACATTTAGTGTAAAAACTCAAATAATATTTAATTACTAGAAATCTTAATGTATAAATTGTTGGACTTTGTCGCAGTTTAGTAGAACATACAATTTTGCTACTCATAGCTCTTTATTATTGAGGTAATGTGTATTATGCCTCCCAGTTGATTTTTCTTATATATGTAATACGAATAATTCATTCCTCTAATACATCTCATCAATAGTTTGATGTATTCATTCTCCTTATTCAAAATAATAGGAACGAAAAAGATTCTCTCATGCGGTAGGTATGCCTCACACTTTAGGCCCTCGGGATGTGCTTTATTTTTTACAATTCTTTTGATTTTATTTAAAAACTAGCGACATTGAGGCTTTTTTTTAATAAATTATGGCAATAGATCATTCAAACATAAAATGTAAGGTATGCATAGGATGTATCTCGCAAAAGGATACAATCATCGGTACTACACTAGACCCTCAAGTATAGCTTCATAGCATAGATGTATAAGCGGATGCTCCATAGAGTTAAAAAAATAAGAAAAAAATATACGCTCAAGCTTCCATAAAATTAATAAAATACTCCTTCAAGATTTTTCAACGAATCAACTTTTAGGTTCCCCGCGCACAAGTCCTTGAAGAATGCACAGATTTTGATTAATGGATTAAGTATCAGATTTGGTAGAGCATTGAATGTGGTTGATAGTAAACACTATAAAAAATGTGACAATCATAACTTTTCATGTCGAATATCTTCACTATTCCCAAGTCAACGCAACAGCTCAGTTTCGACTCATATCGACTAGAAAATTGTAGTAAATGCATTGATTAATATATTATTCTTTGTTGATCCAATGTGAGATAATATGTAGTTTAACCTTTATTAGTTTATGTGCATTTGTTTCTTGAAGTTCTAACTCCTTCAACTTCTAATGTTTTTTTTTTCAATTCTAATCCTGCATTGACATTATCTTTTGTGTTATTCTTAATATCCATCATAGCATTTAAGATAATATCAAAAAAAATCTTCTCAATATATATAACATTGAGATTATGTATAATCAAATTAATCCACTAGTATAGAAGATCATAGAAAATACTATGATTTATCAAATTATGTGTAACAACAGAATCATGAAGACGATTTGAAACTACTCATAGTGATATTTGATATTTCATTAATCATATCATAAATTGTTCTTAGTTATCCTCGGGGGAGCACCTCTATTCATTCTAAATGAGCGAATCTGGCCAAAAAACCTTAAATGACAATCACATCAAGAGATTTTTCTTCTATGTTTTAATGTGAATGTTGACAATACTCC